ATGAACAAGTAAAAAAATAAAACAATCTTCCTTCATTTTTTTAAACGTGTTAAAAATATATAACTACAGTACATATGATATTGTAGCAGGGGTTTAAAAGAATATAATTTTTTGAAAAATTATGTAACCTCAACCGATTCCTTGTGGTTTTTGTTTTTCAAATTTGAAAGAGCTAGAGTATTTTAGAGCAAAGGTTCAGAATGTTCTATCTATCTTTAAGTTAGGCTTTAGAAAAATTCCACCCTTACCTTTTCACAATTAGAAAGGTTATAAATAATGTATTTGGCTGAAAAGGAAGCTCAGCCTGTGGCAGATGGTATCATTCTAGAGTACTGGGGTTTCTGTGAAGATGGCATTCTTTCAGATCGGAACTTCAGCAGACTCTCAGAAAGAACCGAAGCTCCTCATAGGGAGTAGACATGTGCTTTATGGATCTTAGAAAAGCTTACAACTTGGCTCCTAGGACGAGAATATTGTGTCACACTGGGGTTATGAGACCCACAGCCAATTTCTGCCGACTTTGAAATTGTATTTCCCAACACTGGAAACTGTGGCCTGTTTATTGGTTGGTACACCGTGTAGCATTTGAACTTGGGATTTCAACCGACTGAGTTTTGTCGGTTGGTTTATTTTATTCTGTGAACATTGATGTTTTATACAGACCAGCCACTGAATAGGAAACTTGCCATACAAGTTGTGTCTTTTTCAAAGTGCTTTGGATAGCTCATATAAATAGACACTGAGAGAGAACTGGAATAACATAACCACCGAGCACTGCAACTTCCGAGACATCTGTGTGGATGTATTTTGAAAAACCTGGGAAGGGATCTCTTGCAAATTAGTGAACAAAGGTTCTTGAAACTATGATTTCTATCACGACAGCCAAAGCGATGGATTTGAAAGATTCGTGTCACAGTTAAGCTGCCATTATCTTTGACCTTTAAGGGGAAGAAAAAAGGGGAAGAGGATTTCTGGTGGCTTGTTTCAGTAACCCTTTTTATTGATCACCTAGTTTGTGTCCAGCCCTCTAATGAATCCAGAATGTATTGAGATGAGACCTAAGGCCCACAGTCCAGTGCAAAATAAACAGCAGGATGAGTGCTCTAGTGCAGGAGGTTTGGGAAATTAGGAAAGGCCTCATGGAAGCAAGGATGCCCAGGATGTATCCTGAAGGATGAGCAGCTGTTAGCTAGAGATGGAAGAGGGCATGGGTCATGCATCCAAGCCAGAGGAGTGGTATTCCTTCTTGATGCTTTCTACCAGATACAGGCCAGCTTCAGAAAACACCACCAAATTGGAGTATGAGAAGAAATGAAATATTTCCCTTTGGTGTTCTCCCTTACTATTCCTTGACCCAACTTGGAACTTAATAATTTAATCAGTATACTTTATTCTACATTAAAAAGACTCAAAATACTGTGTACCATTTGAAACTTTTATCTGATACTCCATTGATATTTAAAGCATAGTCACCTGATGTGAAATGTGATCATATAATGAAAGCCCAGTGATGAGGAGGAGGCAGAGGGTTGTCATAGTAATTAATATCTCTTCAGTTTATACATAATATGTTATAGGCTCTGTGCTAATTGTATCACATCTATTATTTATTGTCTGTCCAAGAGCAGATAGTATGTCTCTTCAAGTCATTTTCCTAGCGAGTTGCCCAGTGCTTGGCACATGGTAGAATATAAGTATATGCTAAATGAATTTTTAAAATGCCTGAATGGATGGATTCTCAGAACAACTCCATGAGGTATATGCTATTACCATTCCCATTTAGCATGGGAAGTTGTGATGTAATGGTCAACTGTTTGACCCAAGGTTATGCTACCAGTGTGTGACACATCCTCACTTGAATGTGTGTTTATTTCTATTCTGTTTTGTCAGATGAACATTTAGTGTTTATTTTATTATGTGCCAGGCATTGAGCTAGAAAATAATATGGTGCCCCAGACCTGTGTGAACTCACAGCTTAGTGCAGTCTTTTTAAACCAGTATCTCCTTTTAAGTGACGCAAGAGTCCCAAGCCTTTCTGATGTGGAACTTGGCCTACTATCTGTATGTCCCACCACCTAGGAAAATATTACCAATCATGACTTTCTTTTATTTGTGTTATCAAAACAATAGGTGTTTTTTTCCTGATATTCTAAATTTAAGATTACACTATTGAATATGATTTTTCAAATGCCATGTGCAACACAAAATTCTGCAGTCTCTTTCCTTCCATTGAAACCGGCTGACTGGTCTATTCCAATGCTATGCCTAAGCCTTTAGTAGGAATTTTACCACCTGAAACACACACACAGACACGCCCACACATCCTCCTCATGAAGTGACTATATGAGCAATCTCATTGGACAGATTATTTCATATTGTCCAATAAAATCAGACATGTCTCCAAGTTGCCTGAATTAGGAAATATTTCCTAGTCACTCAAAAGCACAGAAAGATAGGGAATCCAAAAAGTTGCTTTGTCATGCATTATTAGTTATGAATTAGCTTTTTGATTTAAGTCTTGCTCACGCTATTATTTACATTAATCAGAGTTTCCTAAGCATACACCATGTGACAGAAAAGCACTTAAGCCCAGAACCTACCAATTTAGGGTTAAGTAGGGTAGGGGGAAGTTTTGACGATGATGCATATATGGGTATTATTTTCCATGTATGGATAATAATAAACTGTATAGCACTATTACATATAGGGTCTAGTTTTACAATATTTAGGACATTTTTTCACACACACACCATGGATTCTTCTTCCTTCCATCATCCCCTACATTTTCCACTGTTGATATACAAATCACATTAAATTGAGATGATCTATTTACATATCTGTGTTCTTAATGGATAGTAAACTTCTTGTAGGCAGAGGCTGTCTGCCATCTTTGGATGACAGGTGCCTCATCTTTGTAGGCAGATGCCTCTGCCATCTTTGCATCCTTAGTACCAGCCAGGCATATAGTAGGTGTGCAGCAAAGAGCAAATTTCATATATAGAACTGTTGGCAAACTGAAGTAGACTGGATGTTTTTCATAAACCTCAGCAAAATTTGGATATTCTATACACTTCTAAAAAGTAAAACATAAACCACATCTAAAACTTATGTGTATTATTATATTAACATTTAAGAAACTGCCAGAATATCTAGATAAAGAGTAATAATTTTTTAAAAAATTGGACCAGAGTGGAAGAACATCAACTGTCATCCATTTGCAGAAGAATCACCATTATCCATCAGCGATCTCAATAGTTTTTATTAGTGTCTGACTTTATTGATCCCTTATTACAAGAGAGTAAGTGAGATTGAAGCTGACAGATCAGGTAATCTTCTGGCTCTGGTTTTGGCAACTTTGCTAAGTGTCTTTTTACACTGTGGACTGTGGGAGGCTCTTAGTGAAATTGCAAGCTATTGGATTAATGGCAGAGCATCATGAACACATTAAGAATGTCTTTTTAGAGATATAAAATGTGAAAATGACTATAAAGTAGAAAGTGTCAAAAAAAAAAAAAGATATCACAGTGCCTCTTAGGAAAGATAGCTGTGTTTTACATAAATAATGCGACTCCAGCTTATCCTTCACTGGAAGTTCTTTAGAGATCCCCCAAATTTACATATTCCGGAAATGTGTGCATGCTACAGAATTAACACTGATGGTGGATGTCAGGAGAATGAATAATAACTGAAAGAGCTTTACATTAGAGGTAACTTAAAGAAGATAATTATGTAAAAATACTTTTTTCCCCAAACTGGCTTTTCTGGTTGCTCACTGCCTTTTGAACAGTGCTGCCTTCTATAAACTGTTTCACAATAGACCAACTGATGTCTAAAATGTGAGTTCTGTTTCTGCAAATAGGGTTGAGGGATAGATTGGTGCTGCAAAATCTTACTCCTAAGACTCGGTAGGGAGTTAAGTTAGCTGTTACTAGAGAATATGGGTAACGGGTTAAAATGGACCATGAATTTAGTCCTTGAAATTAACATAACCAAAATTTGCTGGGAAGATTGAAAAAGATTTTTTTAAAAATCCTCCTAGTATTAAAATCATGTTTTTCTTCATTTTTTAAAAAAAACCCCTACTTAGTAATACATTAAAATCATGTCTGTCTTCATTTTTGTGTGTTAAAGAGCTGACACTGTTTTCAGGGCATTTATTAAAAGCAGGATAAAGAAAAGTCACAGTAGGTCATGGTTTTGTGGTATCCTTGAGAAATTGAGAAGCATGAAATGTGTAAATTTAAAATTTTTATAATCAGTTTGAAATTCAGAACTTAAGCTTTACTATTCATGAAGCCAGTAATAAGATTGCAGAATGTTTTTCTCTTGATAAAGGATCTCTGTGAATAGTTTGTTTCTTCTCAAATACGATCAGTTAACCTTTGATCAGTGTTAATGCACCTCCACTTTGAATCCAAATAATAGACTGGAAAGCGCAAGTGCTGTTTCTCAAATTTTAATATACATGCGAATCCCCTGGGGACCTTGGTAAAATGCAGGTGCTGAGTGCACTGGTCTGGGGTAGGGCCCAAGATTCTGCATTTCTAACAAGCTTCCAAGTGATGCCCATATTGCTGGTCCCTGGTCTATACTTTGAGTAGAAAGGATGTAGAGTCCAGTCAAAAAATCACAAAGTCACATATATTTATGAATCACAATTATAAAGTCATCTTCATGTGTTTGGATTTACTGGGACCAGTGGAAGTTTGACAGCCTAGGAATGGATGACATTGATGGAGATTCAGTAAATGCTAAAGCAAAGTCTGCGGGTTTGATAGCTCTATACTGGTCTCAGTGAGCTGTTGCTTTCTACTTAAATAAGCATTTGATGATCTACTTAATGAATTTTAAGAAGTCGAAGCTTTAGGCTAAAGTGAGAAACCAAAATGTATTGGTACTCAGTTGATTAAAAAAAATACTGTTGCCACAATTGAGATCATTTCTGTGTTCCATCTTGTGCCGCTGTGTATTACAAATGTTCTCCCCCCTTCTTCATGCAGAGTATGATTTCTTCCATTGTGAACAGTACTTACTATGCAAATGTCTCAGCAGCAAAATGTCAAGAATTTGGAAGGTGGTACAAACATTTCAAGAAGACAAAAGATATGATGGGTAAGCAAAAAAACGTTGCAGCAGTGGCTACATACCATTACGTGTCATTTGGGGGTTTATCAAAGTCACATCTAAAGCCAGGTCTTTTGATTGCCCAATTAGAGATCAATTTAGAATGTTTCTTTGGGGGTGGGAAGTGGGTATGAGTATAATGAGATAATTAAATTCAATAAATGTTTGTGTTTAAATCAGCCAAACTGACTTGGTTGTCAGACATGCAGAAAATCGAGGCGTTAGGAGGGGAGCTGTCATTTTTTAACATCTCAGTGAAGACCTAACCAGGCCTTGAATAGCTAATATTAGCTGTGATTTCTTTCAGTGATAAGTCATGCTTTTAGGTTTTTTGTTTTTGTCTGGTTGAATGAGAAAGTCCCTACTTTTTCACCCAATTTTTAAGGAAATTAAACTTCTTAAACTATATTTATAGTTTCCAAAATAGAGATCAAGTGATTTTTATAGCTCTAACTCCCCAGCCCCCATGGATGGGCACTTTGATAAGCATACTGCTTTACCATTCATACCAGAGCAATTATTGCATCATTTCTAAACTTTTAATTCCAAGAGAGCATTCTATCTTAACACGTAACTTTAGGTGAATATTTGTTATGCAAGAAGTACACTAAAATTATCTGCAGTGTAAAATGACAGATAAAAGTTGTGTATGGTACCTAAGCATTTAGATGATGGCATTTTTCTCCCTGTTGAGTTTGTTAATGTTCACAAAAGCAAACACTGTGATTAAGGTTAATGTTTTAATTTTTATTAATATTCTCTTTCACCTACTTGTACCCTCCAAAACATACATTTTAAAATAATACAGGAATGGGCATTATGTCCTGTTTTAAATCTATTTCTGTTTATTTCTTTACATTCATTTAATAACTTTTTTTCTAAAAATTTTTTAAGCAATAAGAAACCCAAATTTTGAGCATGTTTTAGCACTTAATATTTGAAGAAAAACCATCCATCTACCAAAATGGATTCTTTGCCTTTTATAGCTTAAGGCTGTAATGAAGACAATGCATCATTTTTGGAATAATTGCTTGAATTACTACTCTCTGTGAATGGCCCACTTGGGCTGATATCACTGGTAGAAACTGAAGGTTTCTTCCCCAATTCTTAGTTATATTTTGCATATATCAGGAGCTATAGCACTATGATAAAGTTCCTCTAAATGTAAAACCTGCATATTTAATGAAAAGAGAATTGATGATTAAAATCAAACTGGAGTCTATACATGGGAAGTCTGTGTACAATTTGGAAACTCCTGTTTATGTACAGCTTCATGCTCAGCCCTTCCAGCCAAGAGCATCGAACCAGTCTCCTCCTCGTACAGAAAAGCATTTACACACTTAGAGATGATGCTCAGCCAATCCATATGAGGAACCTAGCCAAGGGAGAAGCATTCATCCTGGGTAGGTGGGAATAAATTGCAAAATCATGACAGCATCACCATTGTACCAGAACGATTCCCTGCAAGATTGTCTTTAGCATCTGGTGATGGCCATAGCTTCCTGAAGAAAAACATTTGGATCTTAGCAACACTGGGTATGCTGGCTTGATATACAATAAATCACTTGCTTTATTCTAAAAAGTATTTCCAGATATACCTATTGCCCATGATGGTTAGAATTAAAATGAAACAAGGCATATATGATATTCAGCAAGCATTCAATATGCACTTACTATTATGCCCATTTTTATTTATTACGTTAACTACTTCTATTCACTGCTAGGTAAAAATTGAAAGTAGGTAACATTTTACGTCATATTTTTTCTTCTACACCTTTTTCCTAGAGTACTAAAGTTAATGAATACCATGAGAATATATTTGTAAAATTTTTAGTCGCTTATTATAAGTTTATTTTCTCAGCTAACTGTTTTTAGTTGTCATTAAGCAAATGACATTCTTTTAGAAGCCATTTTTTAAAAAATATTGCTTATAAGCCTTCTTGGGGTAATAAGTGAGAGTGAACAACTAGTCGGAAAGAATTTGGGTATAATTGATTTTATGCCTTAAATCTAAACCACTTTTTAAAAATGAGATTAGGAGTGCTGTCCCACTTCCAAAGTTTGTAGAATTGTTCAGAAAAGGAGAGAAAAAACACAGCCTGGTAAGTTGCAACTTGAAATTTTCTTGGTTTTTTTGGATTTGGGGTGTGCCCTGTGCCTACCCTTTTTTAATTTAGGAAGTGATTAGAAATCTTTATCAATGTTAATCATTGCTGGCTAAATGTGATTTTACTTTTTGTCCACTTTAGTTGAAATGGATAGTCTTTCTGAGCTATCCCAGCAAGGCGCCAATCATGTCAATTTTGGACAGCAACCAGTTCCAGGGAACACAGCCGAGCAGCCTCCATCCCCTGCGCAGCTCTCCCATGGCAGCCAGCCCTCTGTCCGGACCCCTCTTCCAAACCTGCACCCTGGGCTCGTATCAACGCCTATCAGTCCTCAGTTGGTCAACCAGCAGCTGGTGATGGCTCAGCTGCTGAACCAGCAGTATGCAGTGAATAGACTTTTAGCCCAGCAGTCCTTAAACCAACAATACTTGAACCACCCTCCCCCTGTCAGTAGATCTATGAATAAGCCTTTGGAGCAACAGGTTTCGACCAACACAGAGGTGTCTTCCGAAATCTACCAGTGGGTACGCGATGAACTGAAACGAGCAGGAATCTCCCAGGCAGTATTTGCACGTGTGGCTTTTAACAGAACTCAGGTCAGTTGTGTTTGGTAAATAGTTCTGTGTTGTCTCCTCTTTTCTCTCTCTTTAGTCCCATCTATTACTGAAGTTTATTATTTTACTTCTGTACTAACATTTTCTCTCTCTCTCCATGTGATCATATTACCTGTTCCTAGTGGAGCCTCAATTTTATCACGCCTTTTCCTATGATACACTTCTGAATCAAGGGAAACCTATGTGCAGATTGATTCCAATTCAGGGGCTTTGAAAGACTAATTAAATGTCAAACATGTTTTAAACTGGCATTACTTGTGCTTTTATATAATGGAATCTTAAACTATAGTAGATAAGAAAAGTTTCATGACTCGGTCAAGGCCATTGGCAGGATTCCAGGCTTCTAGCCTATCGTCTTTCCCATGTATGTTACTGCCCATATCAAACTTAGGTATATAAATGTTCCCTGTTAAAGTTCCACAGCAGTGTTGTCATCATCGTCGTCGTCGTCGTTAACACCTTGGAAGCAATAATCCACTTAATTCTAAGCAATCATTTTGAAAAAATACTATATGATGTATTAACATAATATGTTGGTAAGCTTTGTGCTGTCCCTCATGCTGTTGTCTTCCAAACTTCATTGTCTAGACCAGGCATCAGGAAACTTTATTCTGTTATCGACCAGATAGTAAATATTTTAGGTTTTGAAACACATAAAATCTCAGTTACACTGTAGAGTAATAAAGCAGCCACAGACAATAAATGAATGGCACCGGGTATGGTAGTATCTCGGTAAAACTATTTACAAAACAGGCCATGGAGTAAGTGTGGCTGGCAGGCCTTAGTTTGCAGACCCATTTGTAGAGACCTCACTGCCTGCTTATTGATACCCCTAATGTGCACAACTTTGTCTTCCTGGCCCAATTCCTGTGAAGATACTGTCTATCAGCGTGGAAGATGTTTAAGAGGGTCATGGGAAAAAAGTGATGTATATGAGAGGTGACAAGATAAAGATATTTGAGAAGCCCTAAACGCATTCTATTGAACTGTGAATGAGAATAATTTTTTTCTTTGTTTTGAAACTAGTATGATACATTATATATATGGTGTTTATTTTTGGCCCAGGTACACTAAAACAAAAAAAAACAAAAAACCAAAACAAACAAACAAACAAAAAATGAAAAACCACATAACTTTAATTAGAATGAGGACATTATGCCTTTTCAACTTTTTTGTTTTACCGCTGTTCTTTCTTTTGTCAATTTATCTTATTTTTTGGCCTGACTCCCATTTTCCTTTCATATTTAAGTTACTTTGTTTATTACGTGATTATGATTATAAGAATAAAATTCTGGTACAGAAATAATCTAGTATTAATTCCTAGTTGGCAGAGTTTCCATACCTAGGAGAATCCCAGCTGTGACTTATTTTTGGCTTGCCTTAACTAGATGGGGAGTTAGGAGACCTGACAAAGCCTCTAATTCAGTGTTTGTTTTCAGTTGATTCATCTTTATTTTTTTTTTTTTTTTTGTACGTTTGTCTATTTTTAAAAGGGCAGTTGCGCAAGGCTATGTCTCAGGTTAAAGTTGTGTGGTTTTACCTAGTTCCATATCTTTATAGCTTAAGAAACTGTGTTCATTATTAGCTGGTAAAATTAGTATGACACCTATATTCAGTTGGGGGATAATTATTGAAAATGAATGAAAAGTCAACCCTCTAAGTATTCCTGTTTCTGGTAGCATTCTTTATTTTAGTAAATATTGTAAGTACTAATAATTCTCCATACTAGGCCAAAAAAAGTAGGTCTCTACATAACAGTTCAATAATGCTTTTTTGAATTGAGTTAAAAACCCACAAAGACATCGTGACATAGACACAAATTATATATGTGTGTGTGTGTATATGTATGTGTGTGTGTATATGTGTGTGTATATATATGGATATATGTTTATATATATAGTTACTGGTGTCTTAAAAATTGAGCAAATAGTTATTTCTTAAAGCACTAAGTGTCCTTTATATAGTGAAGAATGCTAAGATAGTAGAACTCAGAGAAGTGAGGATAAAGTTGCCACCCATCATTACAGCTTTTCTTTTCTTGGGTTTATGATGTTATAGCCATTACTATGAGGAGTTGGCCATTTCTTCTGCCTTTGGTCCTTAAAAGGACAGATTCTACAATATCTGCAGGATTTGTTACTGGAAGAAAGACAAAATTTTCTCTTTTATACCATGTTAATCTCTTTGAAAAGGTAATCATCTCTGTGGTTAATAAAAACAGTGACTTTATTTTTCTGAGAGTGAGAGGAGAATGAAAACCTTGTATAGCTTGATTACAGATACCTCCTTATTAATAATAGCCAATTTAGAAAAAGAAGTCATTACCAAAAAAATATTTAGTGCCCTGGATTATGAAGGAGGTTTTAAAGCTTTATATTGATAATTGATACACTTCAGTCAAAGTAGATATAGGGCCATATTGAAGATGTTTGACTTAAGAGGAAATTTTTATATATATTTCAATATTAATTCCTTGAGAACTAGCTTTTGCACATGCAGGCATGAATGTATTTTCATTGGTCATTCTTAAAAACCACACATACATACACAGCTGCATTTATTTTTTAATGATTATGCATTCGTGCGACTGGATGTAGTGTGTTTATTTCAAAGTGTATGCATTTCAATAAAAGCAGGTGCAGAGTGAGGGTATGGTGTGAGTGTGGAGTACGAAAATACACACGCTAATGCATATGTATAGACAAGGAGCTCTGCAGAGTTAAATCGCACATCACACATTTGTGTGCACCTAGTACAGTGTGCAATTCCAACTCTGACTTTTAAAAAATTAATGTAAAATATGTACATACAAATACAAAGTTATATGATAGGGTCAGATAAAAACACTGTCCCTTAAAAACAACATTAAGACCTTAATATGATAGATAACACTTACGAATTGAGGATTATTTTAGTCGTTGACAGCTCTGTATAACTTTAAAATCCTGGGTCTTATGTTTTAACTCTTGAGAATTTTCTCATCATCTTAATAGGGTTCCCTATATTAACACATTACCCTCTCAAGACTTTCACACATGGCTATTTTTTTAAGCCTACCTTTTCTAAAAATTTATGGTAAACTTATATAACTACTCGTTTTAAGGAATTTTTCCCCTTCTGAATTGATGGGCATATGTTCTTTAATTGCTGTTGAAGATATCAGCTTTTCGCGTATGTCATTCATTCAGTTATGTCTATTTTGATGTCTTTTTAATGGAAACCTATGGCTAAAAGTAATTGCCGAAGCATCTAGATTTACACTTTTCAATTCACTTCTCTATCTTATTGCTATTTAATGGTTCTGACACATGCGAATACCTTCTTTAATATCCTTTGATTTTTTAAAAGAATAAAATCCAGAGTTTAACTCTGATCCCACTCTGTGGCTTTTTTCCCCTTTTTCTTCCCCCTCCTCTTGTCTTTGGCACACTTTATTTTCCAGTAAAATAAAGAATGAAGATGGATTATTCAAAACTGATAACAGTAATGGACCATCATGTAATGTTTTATTAAATTTGAGTTCTGTAAATTATGTGGTGGAGAGAAATTTGCCTGCTTTAGTATAACAGAAATTGCTACTGTGTTTCTATAATTCTTCACAGTGTAATTTAAGAAAAGTCCACTATCCATATCACTATCGAATAAAAGGTAAAAAGGTGCTATTACCCAAAGATGACAGTTCTCTGGTCTGCCAAATGACAGAGATAAATGTATCTACTAAAACTTACTTGGCATGAGTCCATGGTAGTAGGTGGAGTTTGAAAATAGTCTTTTACCTGGACATGTGATTAAAAATTCACCAAACAATAGAGGCAGGTAGCCTTGAAGAATATTCTATGTATTTTCTTTTTAGGAGGGAGGTTTCATCAAATCATATTTTCTTTCTGAGGGCTTTGAAGTTCCATGAAGCTGATAAAATCTATTTGAATCAGTGATTATGTTCAAAGAGGAGACAAACGGGAGGCCAGACAGGCCTTTTGTTCAGATTGGCAGTCTCTTTCGCTTATCTGCTGTTTTAAAGAATTCATAATTAGCTTTTGGAAATACTGATAATATTTATTGGAGGTTTTTTCTTTATTTTACAACTACTAATGAATTTTACTTGTAATAACTTGTAAACTGTTTTTGGAATGTAAAAACAGGTTTAGGAATTCAGCAGTAAATTCATTCTTTAGTTGAAAAAATTAGAACTCTGACTTAACCACTATGTAATGACAATGCAAAATAATTTTATGTTTTCATAGATACAGCTCACATCTAATTATTGGTAAGATGTGAAGTCCCAATGAAAGGCAGCTTCTGATTTTCAATAAAATTAATATTTATGAGGTACTGGTAACGTCCTACATAACATACAAGTTCTCAGGTTCTTTTCAGACATAAGAATGACTAATGATTTTGTTTAATTTACTTCAACAAATTTATAGAGCACCAATGATTCTTGATACTGATGACATATTTTAGTTCTGATGTTTCAGCATATTCTGTGACATAATAAGTAAGGTACATAATGGCCTTGGCATACTATTTTTTAGCATGAAAAATTTTTGGTAAAAGGTTGCTCTTACCGTCCACTATGTGGGGCATTAATACAAATGACCTTGGCAAGTCTATACTATATCTTCAATTATAGGAAGTGGAAACTGGTTCAGCATATAAATATGAATGCAGCTATTCAAGTAACAACAACCAGAACAGGACCAAAGCATGCATTCCCATATCTGGGATCTGATAACAGTCATTTTGCATCCAAAATTATTCTAAAGTGACTTTTTTTTTTTAAGTAATTATCACTAATCAAAATGTTTTCTGACAATATTTTCAAGCATTTCCACCAGGGGGCACTCCCCTCATTGAAAGCTCTGGGCCAAAAAAAAAAAAAAAAAAAAACCAAAAAAACCCCGAAGGTTTCTGAAACACCTGAGACTGTCTACACTGGCTGCTTTAAAGCTCCTTGAGTGTTTCAGGGCTTGAAACATCACTTTACACCATCATCATATTTCAGACAAACAAAAAACTTTGTTCCAGTAGAATAATTAAGTGGAAGTAAAATGTTTTGCCCCTAAAAACACGTGTATGCTCAAATAGGAAGTCACACCAACATCAAAATATAGGTAGAGATCTTTTAAAATTTTCTCCCAGGTGACATACCATCTTCCAGTCTCAACCATGTGGAAATGACTTAGCCTTACGTTAGCAAGACTTGAGAAAGAATATTATTTTGTATGTTTTCCTGTATTTGACTTTCTCACTATAGATTTCTGCTGCCTCAGGAAATATTTTTGATAGAAATACGTGATATAGTACTTGTTTTTTGGGATATTTATGTATCTAATTTCAAGCTTCCCAAATAACATCCTAAATATTTATAACTATCTTTTTGCCCTAATTTTTAAAATTATTACACAATTTTATGTTTGTGGGAAAAACATCCCACAAAATGCCACAGAACTTTTCACTGTAGGCCCAACATGAGTGCCAATAACTACCACTAGAATTTACTTATAGGTAACACATCTTATTCTTAAGTTTCTATCACCTATTTGTGATTGTTTTCTCCATTGTGGTCTTTATACACATGATCAGTCCATTTAGTAGATATTTATCAAACGTTTACATGAGAGGCATTGTGCTGGGATGATGAAAGTGAATATTAGATTATTGTGCTCAAGGAATTTGTAGCATATTGTGTTTATACTGATGTTTGCATGTATCCATATCTGTGTAGTTGAGAATATATTGCTTTGTCAAGTACATTTGTTAAGACATAACATTTGGTGGAGAGGAGTAAAGAGCAAGGGTTATTTCATTACACCTATTTTCAAACTTTTTTTTTTTGAGACCTGAATGTTTTACTTTCAATAAGAGACAACAGAAATATAGTCAAACTAATTAGTTGGCCTTGTGCAAATTAAATAGCTGGATGATTGACTGCCTATTTGACTGAAGTTTAGTTAAATTGACTAGATGTTTTGCTCTTGTGTAGACACAGTTACAGCATTACTCATTAGTATCCTAAGTAAAAGGACATGTGCCCTTCATTCTTCAGTCACATTTCTTAGGGTAAAACCGAAAGTTCAGGTCCAATTTCCAGGCTTTAGCTGTAAGAGACTAAGTGAGAGACAACTTTAAAGTGGACTCTGAAGCACTCTGCACATATTTAAAGTTCTTCTTAAATACCAGCTTATAAATCATTTTAAGAAGTATCAGTACTTTTGTATTGTCTGCACCCAACTGTTACATTTAGGCAGTATGGTACATTATCTCTAAATCTGGGAACAAAACCAGGTTTGTACTTCTAATCAACCATGAAAAAAACAAATGTTTTAACCTTGGGGTTTCATTGTTTTGACATGACACGTTACCTTCTTTCCCCAATATACCTTTAACCGTTTCTGCATAATTGGAAAGCGGATTTGCAACTTCTATAGAAATCTTGACAAAATTTTATTCTGAAGCTGATATTCTGCTAAGTGAAGAAACCAAATATGTCTTACTATTCCAAGCATTATTTCATGTACAAGTTAAAGAAAGAAGGGCTGCTTAGCCCTTATGAAATGAACAAAAAATTTTTCCAATACTTTTGTTTCATATTGTCCCATAAACGCAATGGGGAGAACCACCCATTTTTGGAAGAATTCTTCCAAAAGTTAAAAAAATTAGTTGAAAATTGATGTTCTGTTATTTAGGGCGTAAAGACACCTTAAGAGTTTTCTAATGGTTTATAAATTTCTTCTATCACTAATAACAATTTTTATTCCCCAAGAAATTTGATAATTACAGAATTTGATACTCTCTTCCTTGGCATGCTATGATGGATTTTCACAATGTTGAAAAGTGGTTAATATATTTCGATTCTTATCTCTGGTTTTTAAAGTTCAAAATGTAAACCTGTTACCCAGTGGTATAATACAGCAGGATAGTATTTAGAATCATTTGTGATAGTCAGTGAGGTTGTCTGTAAATGGTAAATTGAAAGGGTCATCTAGTGTCATGTACTTTGATAAGTTGGAGTTTAAGGAATAATTTTAAACATTGCCTGTGAAAATACGGTATAAACCTTAGGTGATGCTTTAGTAATAACCTTTGTTCTAATATGTTAAAATTCATTTTCTGGTATTTTCTTTGAAAGATCTACTTCTCTAGGAATGGCTTTGTATCTTTACATATTGGACTGTGGACATTACACTGCCTTTGTCTAGGCAGCTTGAGAACTATACAGTTCAATGCTGTTGCATTATGAGGATTTCATTTATTCTTAACTTCCCTGGATCGTCTCTCTGTGAAAGATTTCATGGCAAGTTAAGCTACTCAAAGGCAGGAGACCAATTAGGCAGTTTCAGTTTATGTTATATGTAAAGCAGATGCTTAATAAAATTAAGAATACAATTGAGGCTCTCTTCTCTACCACTTCAATTGTAACTAATATATTCCTATGCAGAATTAATGCCTCTGACTGTTCATTTTCTAAACAGAGTGGAGAAGAAAAGGGAAGGATCACTGCTGGCCAAGCAGAGCACGGGAGCAGGCTCACCCTGTGCCTTTCATTTCTTGCAGGGCTTGCTTTCAGAAATCCTCCGAAAGGAAGAGGACCCCAAGACTGCATCCCAGTCTTTGCTGGTAAACCTTCGGGCTATGCAGAATTTCTTGCAGTTACCGGAAGCTGAAAGAGACCGAATATACCAGGACGAAAGGGAAAGGAGCTTGAATGCTGCCTCAGCCATGGGTCCCGCCCCCCTGATAAGCACACCACCCAGCCGCCCTCCCCAGGTGCAGTCTCCTTTGCCTCCTTGCCCTTCTTTGTTTAGCACTTTTTTTTAATGCTTGAGGAAGAATCTCAGTAAGAAATTCGATAGATAGATACATAGATAGATAGATAGATAGATAGATAGATAGATAGATAGATAGATTGATTTAGATGTTTTTAAATTCCTATAGTTGCTTGAGGAGAATTTGGTCCCAAATCATTAATTCTCATATAAAAACAATAAGCTGCTAATTAGATAGAAGGAAGAAAATTGCTTTGTGTTCCTTCATTCTTGGGGTTATTTGGGGGTGAAAGTAGTCTTTAAATGGGATATTTGTCTCTACTGTTGTTATTAAGTAAAGAGGTATTTTAAACTCAATAGAAAAAGAATAAAGTCAGTTTTTTCCCAACTAGTTTTAGAATCGCCATTTGAATAGTAAATAAAAATAAATAATTTCATTTGTATTTATACTTTCCAATACGAACTGCAGCTGGTACCAATTACACACCATCTCATTTGTAATCTTTCATAATTAAGTTTAATAAAATCCTTGAAGGCAGCTTTAAATGGGGCTGATAAGGAATTCTATCCATATTCCAAAATATGGGCATGTTTTCTCTTTCTTCAAATTTTTGGAGTTTTAGGAAAGAAAGTTGCCTTCCAGGTAACTTTGGGTATGTGAATCTGTATTGTTTTTTAAACTAAGTTTAAAAAGTAACCTCATAACTGTTATAATTCAGTAAATCAATTTGCATTACAAATCCTTAGATAAAAATTTGCTAGTTAGTGTATTAGACTCAAAAATCACAAGCAATTTTTTTTTTCTTTTCTTTTTTTTTTTTTTTTTGAGACGGGGGTCTCACTCTGTTATCCAGGCTGGAGTGCAGCGGCGTGATCTTCACTCACTGCAAGCTCTGCCTCCCGGGTTCACGCCATTCTCCTGCCTCAGCCTCCCAAGTAGCTGAGACCGCAGGCACCTACCACCACACCCAGCTAATTTTTTTGTATTTTTAGTAGAGACAGGGTTTCACTATGTTAGCCGGGATGGTCTCAATCTCCTGATCTCATGATCCACCTGCCTCGGCCTCCCAAAGTGCTGGGATTACAGGCGTGAGCCACCGTGCCTGGCTGCAAATGTATTTTCTGACATGTTTAACTTGTGACATTTACAGCTCTTAAAAATAAGGTCAGCTAAAATTGGACAAAAATTGAACATGGAAGAATAAGTCAAAATATTCGTATGACAATGTCATAGTGAAATTGTATCTTGATGTTACTTTATTCTCATCAATAGTAGAAAGTAGTCATACATTTTCATGTATAGAAATCTAGAAAAAGCTCATTCAGCACTAAAGACTGAAAGTACTACAGATACTCCATAAGTAAGAAATAAATATTTAGCCACTTGTTGAGTGGCTAAATAATAAACTGCTTATCATAAGGTTCTGAAACAATTTTTTTTAGAAATGTCACAAAATCCATTTTCGCTATTTTATTTAATGAAAATCTGGTCTTGATGTCTATAGGAACAGACTATAAGGAAATCATTGCTATAATTGTGAATAAAAAAGCCATGCTTCTTTAGGAGAAAAGCATGGCTCTATATACATATGTACACACCCACCTGCCCATGCACACGCAGTTATTGAATTTGATCTCTAAATGCTTCTATAAAATATTTCCTAAGATAAAGAATGAGGAACTCGTTACATATAGAAAATATGACTTCTAAGAATGGTTAAAGAGAAAAGATAAACTGTGACTTCTAGGAATGATTAAAGAGAAAAAATGTACAAAATGAAATAATTTGGTTTGGTACTTTTTCTGTAGTGTTTAGTGTTAATACACACACTTCTATTAGTTAACTTTGCTCCTAAAGTCATCACTGGCAGGACTCTGAGCAGAGAATTACTTTACTTGTTACTTAATCTGCAATACTAATAAAAGAATGGCTTACTTAAGACCAATATGAACTTCAATATTGAACTGCTTTAAAAAAAAAAAAATCTAGCTAGATACTTGATTTTGTGGTTCCTTAATACAGCTTTTGTTTCCTCATTTTTCTAGGACTCTATGATTTTACTTACTTTCTAAATGTGATTTTGGTATCCTTACTCAAGTTTTTTCTTGAGCTAAAGTTATACCAATTTCTTATTAAGTGATATTTCTTTTCATATGCTGCTAAATTACTATGGGATAACTTTCCCATATGTATGCTTAAAGGCTTTATCTGCTGATAAGTTGGGATAGAATATATGTTTAATTTATTTTTGCCTGAATTATTGGTTAACTGGTTGAGCCACCCTTAGCTGTATTTGTTTGTTCTAAAGAGGAGTTGAGACCAAGCCCATAGTTAGGGTATTCAGCCAGTGATGAAAATATACAGTATATACATACTGTACATGCTTAGTGAAACTCTTTAAAATAAAACATTTCTATTAATGCAGTATTACTATCTATAACCAAACTCCAAAATGATTAACTGACATGTGTATGGGTGTGTGTAATTTTATTTTGTTGCTACAATATAAATCTTTAAATTATTAATATTATTATAATGGAGATCACTACCAGTTTGTTCACATTCTTCTGTTTAACCATGATTCAGGGAATTAAATTTTAAGAAATTCTTAAGGTATTAAAGGTATTATCAATGCAAAATTAGTACTTTAGATTTGGAAAAACACGTTATAAACTAATTCAAGTGCTTGAATTAGTACTGTCTTGTAGCAGCAGTCGACATAATGAAATAATGCCTAAACTGGAACCAGTATGCATATTTAAAATGATTTAAAATAAAGGATAAAATGGAGAAAACCACAGATAAACAGACAGCAAAATTTTGTCTTTTTAAATTTTACATTTTGCCAAAGAGGAGTCCATGTGAAATCAGTATACATTCCATTTCCCCCAAAATGAAGAGATTTGAAACATATTTTGAGACAAATCTTGGGTTTGGGTTGCACCTAAAACCTGATTTCTTTCTAAAGAACCACATGTTAAAAGCAGAGGCCCTCAGTGGTTCACAGAAGACCCAGCCCCCATTAAGGCCTGAGAAACTGGATTCTCTTCCAGCTCCTTACAGAGCGTAAAACATACAGAAGATGATTTTGGAGTGTCCTTGGGGCATACCATAAGAAGGACCTAAACTATTGAGGGACTTGAATTCTAAGCCATCTTCAAGAAAGGACTTCCCTGGCTAGTCAGGCCCCACCTGGGGACATCTAGCCTCAGGAAACACCAAGCTCCTTGGTGGCCTGGTCCAGGTGAGATGCCTCCCTGCAGAGGTATCCCTTGTGCTCCAGGAGGGGCAGTTATGCCCTGTGCTTCATCCTCTGCCTGGGCTATAGGCTCTGGGCCAGACCTGGTTTCTGCAAGCATATTTTTGCAATTTACATGCTCTAATTCGACAAATAAGAATATCTTGCACCTGATAATGATTCACACCCTAACTTGATAAAAGCCATTCTGAAAGCAACTGAATACATCAGTTCATTGAATCTTCATACCAACCTTTTGCTAGAAGAAAAATGAGAAAACCAAGTTTAAGGTTTAGTCAGTTTTCAAATCCTCTGCTAAGTCTCTTGCTCCTTCCTCTACTTCAAGCCACATCCTCAGAATACAAGCAAACTTATTTTAGAAAGGGAAAAGTGAAACTTGGAGATCTTTTTGTTTGTCATAGAGGATGGGAGGTTTTATTGTTAGAATAGGAAGAGGAGCATGTGCGAAAGCATTGTCCTAATAAAATAACTTGTTTCACAAATTATCTACTTGGGAAGGCGAGGCAATGGCATTTCTGGGATTGTGGGGAAAACGGCCTGTTTTAAATTTTGGTCTTATGAAAATATCTGGGAGAACTCAGTCCTCCCATGTTCCTTGGTCTTAAGGTTTCTTTTCACTATAAGCTTTGCAAATTTTCCTGAGTTTATTATAGGAATTTTATCAACAATGATAATTCATCATTATTATCTGAGAATTATATATTTTACAGAATTTTAAGTGATGATTTCTACCGTAGGAGTATTTTTTTTTTATTTTGTTTGTACATTTTAGTGGACTTTTGGAATTAAATTAATTTAGCAGTTTGTTTCCATGAAGGCTGTTTGAAAGCATATAATTATCGAGTTACAGCTTTTACATGAATTACACAAGTCTTCTTTTCTTCATTTTTTACATCTCTTTATGTAATTCTTTAGTTTCTACTAAAGGTGTGCCGTTTTATAACAATGCTTTAGACAATTTATGAAGTTAATATAAAGAGTATATGATTAATCTGGTAGTTGCACTGTTCTCTTTACAAGAAATCCCTCTATGATATAATGAAACATAGGTTCATCTTGATCTCAGGTTCAGTTACAGGCAGGAACTTAACACTTGGTAAAAGTTTTATTTCTTATGAATCCCTTGAAGATCATTTTAAGATATTGCTTATGTAGTTAGAAAATGCATTCCATTAATTGTCATCTTTTAAAAACTGGGAGACTTTTAAAGTCTCGATTTGGAAAATAATACTGTTCCTGGAAAGAAACAAATATCTACAAGTGTTAAATCATGGTGCTAAAGACAGTGTTAATAAAGTTCGAGAGTGGGAAATATTTTCCATCACTAATAAGCATCCATAAAATAGGATATTTCTTATTTTCATTAATAAGAAAACATAATTTTTATACCCTGAAAATAAATTCAGATTGGATTTTAATATTAAAATCAATAGCTATTAAAAAATTAGACATCAATGAGCTAGATTTATCAAAGGACCACCAAAAAGCAAGTCCAGCCTGCTCTAAAAATTAAGAATTTTTTCAAGTAAAGAAGGTGCATGTAATGTCATGAACTCTAAATAACTGTGGTTTCTAGTTAAGTTTAGATCTCAGCATCGCCCTACCAACAAATTGTTTAACATGTTTGATTTAACAGAGTTTTCTCAATTTTAAGATGGGACAATCATAATACCTCCTCCAGGCTGCTAGGCAAGTTAAGAAGTTAACATACATTAATGCAATGTCCAGCACATAATAAACAACTAATAAATGTCAGTGTTTATTATCACCATTATTAAAACTACATATAGGCCGGGCGCGGTGGCTCAAGCCTGTAATCCCAGCACTTTGGGAGGCCGAGACGGGCGGATCACGAGGTCAGGAGATCAAGACCATCCTGGCTAACACGGTGAAACCCCGTCTCTACTAAAAAATACAAAAAACTAGCCGGGTGAGGTGGTGGGCGCCTGTAGTCCCAGCTACACGGGAGGCTGAGGCAGGAGAATGGCGTGAACCCGGGAGGCGGAGCTTGCAGTGAGCCGAGATCCGGCCACTGCACTCCTGCCTGGGCGACAGAGCGAGACTCCGTCTCAAAAACAAAAAAACAAAAAACAAAAAAAAAACTACATATAACTTTAATTTTGTTTGTGTAAAAGCAGTGTGCTTGCAGGCAATTCCTCATCTATCAAAGTAGGATGTTCATCAATCAAGGCCAAAGTAGAGTTCATTTTCTGTAATCTAAAAGTATGATTTGATGCATTTAGCAATCCATGAAGAAGCAAAATAGAGTTTTCATGGAAAATTTGTGTCCTGCCACACAATTTTAGTGAAATAAAAAGCAGACCCTAGTGCTGCACCCTATCCCCACATGGGAGGGTAAATAGTAGAAGCTCCAATTCTTAACTACTTCCCTGGCGCCGCCTTAATAATGGAGTAGTACACCCTACCTTGATAAAAGCTATTCTGAAAGCAACTGCATTTATTTTACCTCCTGTGCTATTTGCGGAGAAGAGCTGAACAGTAGTTTGTTTTGCCTGGAATGAACTACTTTATGAATTTTAATGTGTGATATAATATTAAAAGCTAAACCAGGATTAAAGAAGATTTTTTTTGTACTGAGCTAAAATAGTACTTAGTAGAGTGAGGTATAAAAGATTTTTGTTTCCATTTTTACCTGGGGAAAAATTCAGCTTTCGTATTTCTGAAAAGCTGTCCAAGTCAGTTTCCCTTAAGCAATAGCTTGTGTTTAGGAAAAAAATGTGATTCTAGAATTCTAATAGCTTATCTATTATAAGATGCCTATCTGGGCCAACTAGATGGTAAAGAAGAGCTTTCCTAAATATTTTAAAGTGAGTAATACAGAGATACTTTCTAATTTTGTAATCATTAAAGTTTTACCCTCACATTCATTTAAAAAAAAAAAAAAACATTTCTTATATACTTCTTTTTCACTTTTGATTGTGTTGGCTACTAGGAAATGATTTTTTAAAATAATTTAGAATTGGTGCTTGATTGTAATTGCTTTATAGTAAAAAAAAAAAAAATTAACCAAAGAAGTTTTTAGAAACAAAGTCACAGGGTTGAAACAAATGATTATAACACACCTCAAAGATAAATTCTTAAACATTCTTTTTACAAAATAATGAAAATTATTGTAAAAACAGATCGAAAGACCAACTTTCCAAAGTCTGTTCTTTTAACTATTGCTTAGCAGATTGCTACCAAGGATATGTTTCTTCAGTGCACTGGACTTGGTGCCCCCATTTCCATAACATTCAATTTTCAAAGTGATTGAAATGACTTTTCTTTTCCCTTTCATTTAAGCAGTGAGAAAAATAGGTATTAAAAGGGACCCCATGGGGTGATCAAATCTATCCCTCTGCCTCAAAGCAAGACCACCCCAGAGCAAAGTTTCCAATCTCACCAAAGCAACTTTGTAGGCAATTTATGATAATGCGTTAACTCTTCTGGCTCTTAAAGTGGTGTTTAGCAGATTATTGCTTCAAAGCCCTGTATGTGTTCTAGTGGCCTCCAGTCATTAATATATCTCTATGAGTGCCCTTGCTTACTAGAGTGGCAAAGCTAGAAGGGGAACTCTAGAGAGGAAGCGGATGAGGCCCCACCTTTGGTCACCTGTCCTGCCTTACCTGCTGTGTCCTCTTCAGGCCTGCGGGCCAACTATTTCCCAGCATTATCTTTTCCATGCTTGGAAAGGTGGTATCGTGGTGGAAACCTCTACCAACTTTCTCAAGATAAGCAAGAGGTGAATTATTTTGCTAATTGGCCAGAACTTAGGATTCAGCAGGCACATTTTAAAGAGGTCTCCTATTTATGCTTTAAGTACGGAGAATTGAATCACTGAATATTTTAGGAACAGAGTAAAATAAATCTCAAAGTCCTGCAGCTTGACTCAAAGGCTATATCATTTAATGCCAAAAAAAAAAATCGTTTGTTTATTCTACAGGGTACTTCATTTTCTATTTTCATGGTTTATGTGAGAAATTGTCCAGAATGATAAGTTTCTAGAGGATAGAAACCTGGGTTCTGCTAGGTAACCAAAGAGATGAGGTCCTTAAGGGATTAGTTTGCTGGAAGAACCATGGTTTTGTATCTGTAGTAATTTTTCATTTATATTTTCATCAGTTTCCCAGTAAAAAATCAGCTACATGGTTTTTATGTAAATTTTCCAGGCTAGTTCATACTACTGTGTAATAAAAAATAAATTTGGAGTTTTAAAAATGAGTAATAGTGTCAGTACATTTTGAAGTTGAGATTTGATTTCACCTTCTAAAATTTTGTGGCATTTTACTGCAGATACCTGCTTATCACTATTACTAAAGGCATTGATAGTGATTTTTCGCTCAAGATTGTACTTTTTGAATATATTAGTAAAGTCACTGATTATATATTTTGTGATGCTTACAGTAATATTTTATTAAATATTGTGAAGCATTATCTTATTGTGTGGTTTCGCAAGTCAAAAGGAAATAGTTATATACAGGGGTGCCTGGAAAACATGAAATAATTACACAGAACAGCTTGGACATGCACGTGTAAAATGCAACCAGCCTTTATGATAATTAAGCAAGGCACTCTACCTGCTTCATGGATGGATAGAAGATTTAAATATGCAGTTCTGCAAATGGCTTTGTTATGGAAGATTTTTAAAATGAAACATAAGAGGAAAATGCATAAAAATAGTCTAAAATTAAAAAGGCTATAGTATGTAATAGCTATTAGTGATGCAATTGTCTATTAGGCACCGGGCACCCAGTGAAGATACAGCACTGTGCATTATGATTTTAATTGTGAATTTCCTTTGTTAGGATTGCAATGGAAGGTAATTGGGAGACAATTAGTTTAGGGTTTTCAAGTCTTTGAAACTATTTCGTTTTCCAGAAAACTTACTTTATGGCATTATAATTCCTGGTTGTCAGCTGGCAGTTGCTGTCATATTACAGATGCAATCACCTGTGACAGTGTGACTTCCTTAACTTAAGCAATCTGATCTCAGGGCAATAACTAATGTTGAATGACTGCACTGTTGATCACCTTGATCATAAAAGGAGCAACAGTGTCCAGTTTGGATGCTGAGCCTGAGAAGCTTCAAAACAATTTAGCCAATGAAAAATGACAGCCATGTTCAAAATGTTTTGTAGGTGAAAACAGCTACTATTGCCACTGAGAGGAATGGGAAACCAGAGAACAATACCATGAACATTAATGCTTCCATTTATGATGAGATTCAGCAGGAAATGAAGCGCGCTAAAGTGTCTCAAGCACTGTTTGCAAAGGTTGCAGCAACCAAAAGCCAGGTAAGAGCCTCTGTTAGGCATTGAGAACGTTTATCTGTGTTGCCTGTGGAATTTTCATTAAAAGGAGTGTCTATTTTCAATATGAACTTGCATCACGGAGAGGCCTCTATGTCTAGGATTATTTCCAGAGCTCTAAAATGAAACAATATTCAAATTCAGGTTATAGGCACTTGGTATTTTTTTTTCCAGTAGCCACTCCCCAGACCAAGGATTTTACGGTAAATCCCCAAGTCAGTTAATAGGTATTTTCAGAAGGATATCATAATGGATAGTCAGTTTCTCAGTCTGGTCTATTGTATAGAATAAATAACCTGAATTACTATTATTTCATTATTGCTTAGATGATCTTGATGTTTTTTCCTACCTAAAATGCTACAAAACTTTATACAGTTTGCTCTGTTCCAATTCAGCCATCTCATGTGACATTGGTGGACTAGTGGTGAGAATAGTTGCCTCTCAACTCAGCTGTCTGCAACTATTAAATACACTTATTAAGACAAACTGACACACACATACCTCTTTGCATATTAATGATTTTAATTTTTCTGTGGAATATACAAGACGCACAGATTGATTACAAGTTGTCCAACTCTGAATTACAGCTGAATAGACTTGAATTGGAAAAGTTGTAAATTTCTACCAAACTAAATAAAAAAGGATAGATTGTGTAGTCTTTTATCAGGGTAATTGTCATATATTAATAATTCATATTCATCAAAAGTGGAATCATCTACATGAACAAACTTAGTTATCTATAAACCCTTCTCCAAAGCCAAGAATACTTTTTAAAGGACCAGAAGAACACTAAACTCTTTTCCCCTTTGAAAAAGGATTTGATAACACTGTCAAGGTGAGATTTAGAGGCAAATAGGGACTCCAGGTAAGATTTTAACAACTTGAAATTTTACACAAGTGTATTTTCATTATCATTAATGAATCCTAAAAAAGCCTGGCTGTTGTCAACTTCTGATAAAATACACAATTGTGGGAGTATTTATAATACGATATATTTGTAACATAATAATCTTTTCAGATTTTCCTAAAGTTTTACCCTATCGACATTTATAGTGTTACTTGACAGGAGTTTTGCTTTAGAAGAATGTTGTTCTTGTTTAAGTTATAGGCTTGATGAAATACTTAAGGGATATCTTGGAAATGTTATATAAAAATGATTAAACTCAAGCTGTGGACTGTAAAAATTATAGCTTTATAGGCCACATGCCTGCCTACCCTTCAATCACTGTCAAAGTGATAATTTCTACAATAATATGTTTCTTTTATTGTGAGATTCTAAACATCAAGTGCTGTTTAAACATTAAACTGAATTGTTTATGTTAGTGCTGTACTCAGCGTGTCATACATCAGGCCACCGTAATCTCTCATGGAATGTAAAATTCTGTCATGAATCATGGCTTGTATATCGGAAATTACTGTAATTTTGATTGGAAATTACAGGGCTCTTGAAATGTTTCTAATTATGATAGAATGTTAGAGCCGCTTTAAACCTGTGTGCTTCTTCCGATGTCTTCATTTACATGCCAAGACTATGCGTTAAAGAGAAATGTCCTGGTCTCACTTTACCCCCCCACCTACTTGCTCACCCCACACATTCTTGTTTTGGCTCTTTAGCCTAATTATGATGAGGATCTCATATTTAAATATATATTATCTTGCCTTTCTTTCTGATTCTACATTTTTTTTCTGACCTGTCCAATCATCAGTAATAATCAGACTGCATTTCTACAAAAGCCACTTTCCCTAAATCTCCAAAATGGAGAAACTGGACATGTATCATTATAGTAAAGGTTAGCTTTAAAACAAAAATTAATATTATAACTTCTTAATAACCATATTTAGTTGTCTGTCACCTGTCATTTAATTCAGTCTACCCTCACCCCCTGCCATCATTTTCCTTTCTGATTCCTTTTGATTCATAGTTCCTTTGCTATCTTTGACTTCATCCTTTTAAATGATACCCCAGGTTCTCCCCAACCTGGGCTGGGTACTGATTTTGGAGCTATTTGGACAGTAGCAGCAGTTGGCTAATAATGTCATGCAGGTGATGTTCTAAGCCGTTTTAAACAACCCTGCTCTTTGTACCCGGTCCTACACAACTCCTTATGGGTCTCTGTCAGCACTGTAAATAAGCAAATTCCAAGCATCTTCTGTGATGGTGTGTTTCCCAAAACCCCCAAAGCTTTTAGCTGATGAGTCATTACTGTTTGAGAGAAAATCAAAGGGGCCGATTGTGGGCTATGGGAATCAAGCAAACTATTAACTTTATTCCCTTGGATAGTTATTCTCAACTTCTGATTTACTCTAACGTCCTAGTACAGCATTTTTGTAGTCTTGTCTTAGTTGTTCAGTTTAATGTTAGCACTACCCTGTTTATGAAAATATGTTGAAAGATTGATGATTGCTTAAAAAATTAGTCCTAAACCTGTGTATATCACTAACAAACCCGATTTAATAAGGAAAAGTGGCCGTTTGCTTAGGTTCTGTTCTCATGCTATGATGTTTTGTGAAGGAAACAGAAAAACTAACAACAACAACAAAAACTTCAAATCAGACTGACATTTTTAATGGTCAAAATGTTGCACTTCTCAAATAGATGTTTAGACCTCAGATGTGTGCCAGGGCTTGCCAAAATGAGGCAGCAGTTCCCCAACACAAAATGTGTGTGAAGCCAGAAGAACCAGAGTCTCTTCTGTCTCAGCCCATCTACCTCTGCTTCTGTGTCTTGCCCTGGTTGTCTGGGTTGACTTAATCATCATGTTCTTTGTGCTAGACCCTATCATACATTATAGATTATCTGCATTAATTTAGTAACCCTGTGAGCTATTATTTTCTTAATTTCACACATGAGAGTTTCTTAACTAATAAATGTACAGCCAACTCCAAATTCTCTTCATTTCTCCTATTTTAGACTGTCTTTAGGGTTCAAGGCAGCATCATCATCACTGAAGTACTACCCTGATCTGGGGAAGAGGGATTAGGGACAGTGGTCTTATTGATAGTGCAGACAGTGAGGGCTTTCCTTTCTTCATTGACATGTTCGTGGAACACAAGGTTCTTACCACACAAGGTTCTTACACAGAGCCTTCAGAATCCAGGCTCTATCATACTTTATGGAGGTGGGTGTACAGGGTGGAGGAGTCAAAGGAGGTCAGCTCTGATCCAGATTGTGTCATAGGTGCTATAATATTGGGAAATTTTAACTTTTTAGCCCAGGATTATTTTAACATAGAAGGCACATGCTAGAGCTTTTAAATTATATAACAGTATACCCAAATGGTAATGTTTCATAATGTGCTAAGCAAGAGGTTCAGTCCTCCACATGGATAAGAGATTTATTTATCATGTATTTGTGTATCATAAATACCTTCAATTTTAAAAGGTAAAGCGCGCTCTGTAGTGACTAATGCACAGAGTATTTTCTGTAAAAGAAACCAACTCATGTGGATTCCGCCATTTCACATGTATTGTCTCTTCTCTTCAATGAATAATAGATACGGAATTGTTTTTAACTCTAATAGAAATGTCTGAATAAAATATGCAAGTAAAAACTGAAGGTAGGCTACTTTTTGTGCTTGGTTAGGAAAGCAGGCTAATGCAAACTTTAAAAAGATGATATGCTTTAAACATAATGTGAATAGCTACAAATGAATACACTTTATATTCTGGGTATTCAAATAAGCAGCAGTTTTTCCAAGTGAATCATATTGGAATTTTATCAAACATTTAGTCTGATAACATTCAAATAATTATGAGAGCAGAATTTGCTAATTTTACTGTTTAAAAAAAAATAGTTGATTTGGGTAATAACCATCACAGTATCAAGGTTCAGTTACTGTTCATTGGTTATAGTGTTTTCATATGGGAGATGGAAATGGAATTTTTTCCTTAATGGTGGCAGATGTTGGAATCTAATTTTATTCCACAGCAAACCCCTTGAGAGCTCTGAGACTTAAGGTGTGTGTCCAGCAAGGGGACATTAGCAGCACCGTAGGCCTTGCCTTGTACACTGAATTGTTACATTGATTTTCATGTTTGCATAGGTGGAGCTTGCAGATCCATAGCGCAGTAAGACAGTAAAGGGCTTTCACAGAACCACACTGCGTCATCACTTGTGCTTAGCAAATAATTTCCTTTAGTGTTTTATTGAACAATGTATTTGTTTTGGGTAAAGCAACTAGCCGATGAAAATTCTATTTGACTAATATACTTTTGATATAATATTTTACAGTCTGTGAGTTGTAGTACTTTCTGGCTGCTACAGCTTTGGCTGATGAATAGGTATGTTTTTAATACTAAAAAAAAAAAAAGCATTTCTGACTGTGCAAAAATAGCATGGCTAGTAGAGGAGACCAAATAATTTAAAGCCTTTTCTTTCATCTACTTTTCAGTCGCTTTTGTTTGTCATTGAGATTCATGGCCCCTAGGATGAGAGAGAGGGGAAAACAAGGAAGAAAGAGAGAAAAAGAATACCTCCATTTTCCTTAGGTTTATAGGTGAAGAAAACATCATTCTGACCATTTGGTTTGGAAATTCTCACACAGTAGTGGATGTCTTAAATGCAAGTAAGAAATATGTAACAGGCCGGGTGCGGTGGCTCACGCCTGTAATCCCAGCACTTTGGGAGGCCGAGGCGGGTGGATCACAAGGTCAGGAGATCGAGACCACGGTGAAACCCCGTCTCTATTAAAAATACAAAACATTAGCCCGGCGCGGTGGCGGGCGCCTGTAGTCCCAGCTACTCAGGAGGCTGAGGCAGGAGAATGGCGTGAACCCAGGAGGCGGAGCTTGCAGTGAGCCGAGATTGCGCCACTGCACTCCAGCCTGGGGCACAGAGCGAGACTCTGTCTCAAAAAAAAATAAATAAATATATATATATATACACACACATATATATATAAAAAAAAAAATCACTGGGGCTAGAAATAGGGCTAAAAATGTAATTTTCGTTGCTGAAAATAGAGCTATAGTGACAAAATCCAAGA